GCGCGGGTGGGGTGGGGTGGGGGGCTCACCAGCCGCTGCTCCCTGCTGGAGGCTGCCCAGGATCTTCTCTCCCAAGAGGTGAATCAGCCGAGTCACAACCTGGGCAGAGAAGGAACAGCCCCAACGACACTTCAAACCAAGAAGTACCTTGGATCCGTGTCCCAAAGCCAGCAGGCTGTACACGGCTCCAGGCCACGGTGGGTGACGGGCCAGGAGTCTGGTCAGTGTGACGAAGCCTCTCGCCATCCCACTATCTGGACCCGGACATGCGTTGTCCCTTTGTCCAGTGTGTCCGTCTTTGCGCCCGCCCGTCAGTCACTTGGGGATGGCGGCTCCTGGTTTCCCGTGGGAAGCCCTGCCGTGGGGTGGAACCGACCTGGCCCCACGGGGCGCAGCCAGGCCTCCATGCTGCACCCTCCCGCCAGGCAGAGCGCACGCCAGCGGCTTCAGTGTTTTAACTATTTGTTTCAGCTGACGTTGTTTTCGGAATAAACAGTCTGTTAGACCTGAGAGGTCTCCTTTCGCTCCTGTTTCATTTAGTGTTTATCAGAAACGGCTGGACTCCGTCACGTGTGCCTGGACAGAGCCACAGCATCTCTCTTAATTTTCGCCGTAACTGATCATATTTTAGTAGCCTCCCAACACTGGACTAGCATTCCTTGAACGAGACACACGTTTTATAGCTGGCTTGCTAATGTTTGGAGTATTACGGTACTCGCACAGTGCGGACGCCCTGCCGCCCCACGCGCCCCGCCCAGAGCCCTTACCTGAGGGTACCTGCGCTTGATGGACGTCAGGGCTCCTGCCGGAAGCTTGGCCAGCTCCGAGTCCCGGACTGCGTGCACCGTGGTCGCTCTGGGCTGGTGGGTGAGCGTCTCCACCTGAGGAAGAGAAGCTGGGGTGCTGGGGCCACACCACTCTCCCTCACTGCCCTGCACCCCAAACCAGAGGGCAGAACCCCGCAGCACTTCCTGAAGGTGGAGGGCAGGTGAGAAACAGGCCCCCGGCCAGTGGAGGATGCCTCGGCGGGAGCTCCTGGGGGCACCCCACCTGCCAGAGGCCAAAGGGCCCCAGCACCCCAGACAGCCAGTTACCCGCAGCCAGGGCCTGGCTCTATACGCAGTCTCCTGGGGCAGGGCCCCACCCCTGCCAGTTGCCCCCGGAGACCTCTGACCCTTGGATTCCACCAGTGCTGCAGCCCAGGCTGGAAGCAGGCAAACCCGCCTCAGAAAACTGAAAACCGCGGGAGCCTTGCCCCCTCCCCGTGCCATGTTGAGGGCTCCCTCCCTCACCCAGCCAAGGGCAGCACCCAGCGGATGGCACCCAGCCCTACCACTCCGATGAGGTCTCCGCGGCCGTACTCCCCGGCCAGGCGCTTTTTGAGGTCGTCCTTGCGGATCACTGAGCGCAGACGGCCACTGAGGACAATGTAGGTGCAGTCCGACTTGTCCCCCTGCCTGCAGGGACGGGGCGCTGGGAGTGGGCAGGGCACCGGCCAGGAGCCCTCGGCCACCCAATGTAGGAAAAAAAGAAGTAATCCAGTCTTCTCGCTAAATTATTTTAGTTTGGGAAACACAGTTCTTTTCCATGAAAAAATAGGTCTCCAGCGTGTAACAGGTCCACGGTAATTTTTAGGTAAATGATGAAACGTTTAAAATTTCGATTTTTAATAGCTAAGGAAAGCTGACAGCTATGACCCAGGTCTGAATCCAGCCGTCACTGGGGAGCCAGGGACACCCCGAGGTCACAGGGAGTAGGGAGCAGAAGCACATCACAAACGCCGCTGTGCCCTCTCCCGCTGGGGCCGTTTCCAAGGCAGGTACGGTTTTGCTGTGCCCACTGCGTGCAGGTGAGCTGAGCCCGAGCCCAGCAGCCGGTCACGTGAAGCCCTTGGGTCTCCATATCTCACCCCCTCCCGCAGCCCTGTGCCCTGCGCCCCGCGCCCACCTGTACACGGCGCGCCCGGCCTCCACCTCCATCCAGTCCAGGGCGAAGTCGATCTGCCGCACGAAGGACGACATGCGCTTCACCACCGTGTGCGCCACGCCCAGGACCACGGTCGGCTGCTTCCGCATGATTCTGCCGAGGGCCCAGAGTCACTACGGCCGAGCCCACCAGCCCGTTCCCCCCTCAGCCACGGCACCTGCGAGTGCACAGGACCTGCACCCCCCCACGCGTCAAACCGCGACTCCCACTCAGCAGGTGACGCAGGCGGGCCAGGGGCCGGGACAGAGCCCAGATGCCACCTGCTCCATCTGCCCCATGTGCCCAGCGGCCGGTGGCTTCGGGAGAGCCTGTGAGGCCCCTCTCAGCCGTCACCACCCCATGGGGCACAGACCACGCGTGAGGCCCATCCCAGCCATGGGTGGCAGGGTCCCTGCCCCATGATGTGCCACAAAGATGGGGTGGGATGTGGAGGGGCAGGGCAGAGAGAGGCCTGTGGGCACCTGGTCGACCTGCCTCCCTGGCTGCCCTGTGTCAACAGGCTGCTGAGGGTGAGAGCAGAACCCGGGGCCCCGCTGTCCTGTGGAGGCAGCCGTGCGGGTGGGGAACAGCTCGAGGGCTGCAAGGGGCTGGACTGGGCGACTCGGGGATGCAGCCCGAGCACTGGGTGGCTGCAGTGACAGTCACTAAGGTGACAAAGGCGGGAGCCGAGCAGACTGGGGACCTGGAGCTCTGCTCTGAGGCCTATGAGGAAACCCCTGCGACAGCCCAGGGTAAAGTCTGACAGCAGAGACACAGGAGCCAGAACTTGAGGGAGGTGGGGAGAAGCGATCCGGGGCATGACACCCCGGGTGCAGGAGGACCCTCGGGAGAGCAGCCCGGCGGGCGCAGGGCAGGAGCTGCCGCGTCAGGGACTCACGCTGGGAGCGCACAGGAGGACTCGGGGACACACACGGACAGACACACAGACAGACATGCTCAAGGACATACGCAGACACACGGACACACAGACTCAGGGCACACACACGGACAGACACACAGACAGACATGCTCAAGGACATATGCAGACACACGGACGCACAGACTCGGGGACACACAGACACACACAGACACGAGGACACAGAGGCACCAGGCCATGCTCCCCAGCAGGCTGCTCACACGTCCGGGCGCGGGGCCTGGAGGGGCTGGGGGGACAGCCAGGATTTCCATGGGGCCCAGGGGACTGACTGGCCTGGGAAGCAGCCCAGTTTGCCTCGGCTTCCGGAGGCTGAAGGTGTGGCGGCCGCCCCGCAGCATGACACCCCTTCCTGCCATTCCCTCTCACCCCGTCCTGCCCTTCTCCCCAAAACACCTCTCCCCTCAAGTAGGAGCAGAGCAGGGGCAGGACCTGGAAAGCGCCCGGCGTGGGCCCCACCACAGCCACGGCCCTTGCAAAACGCAGGTGCCACCAGAGCCAGCGGGCCCCGCGAGGCGGAGCAGGAGGCGGGCGTGACGGGGGGCTCACTCGTAGAAGTGCGCCTTGGAGATGGACAGGAAGCTGCAGTCCCTGTTGGCCCTGATGGTGAAGATGAGGGGCTCGCCGGTGAGCACGGCCAGCTGGCCCACCATCTCCCCGGGGCGCGTGACGAACAGGCAGCTGTCCTCCTCGCTGTCGATCTTCCGCTGGTACACATGCAGCAGCCCCGAGACCACGAAGATGACGTTCACGTCCTGACGAGACAGGCCGCGGCCCAGGTCGGCTCAGCCCCCGGCGTCCGACACCCCCCCGCTGCCCTGCGCGTGGGCCAGTCCTCCACGTCCACACCTCGCCGGGTTCAGCCCCTGCCAACTGCTGTGTCACCTGGGTGTGGGCAATGCCCCTGCAGAGTGTGAGGGGCCCAGGGAGCAGGTCTCAGGCTTGGGCTGCTGTGCCAGCCAGACGCCGCTCTGAAGGCAGAGCGACCAGAGCACCGGCTCTCTCGCCCGGAGCACCCGGCTCTCACCCCAGCACCCGCTCTCACCCACAGCACCCGGCTCTCGCCCCAGCACCCGCTCTCACACCGTTTGGTGTGTCTCTCAGAAGCAGGAATGAGGCTCACGTAGGGAAAAAACTATTTTCATCTCATCTGTGTTTGAGGACGGAGAACACGGTTTTCTCCTGACTGCGAGGGAGACCAGCAGGTACGCGCGTGCACACATGCGAGTGCAGATACGCACCCACCCCATGAGGGGGACAAGCCCCAGGGAAGGAGCCCTTCTGGGGACAGTGGCAAGACACCTCGCATCGTGTGTCCGGAGGGTTCCCTACAGCGCTGGGTGCCCCATGACCCCCCCCCAACCTCGGCCTTCCACTCACCTGGTCTCCCTGCCTGGATACCACTGTGCCCCCTGGGACGTGAAGAAATGTCACCCGGCCGTCTAGCAGCGAAGGGTCCTAAAAACAGAAACGTGGCATCAACACAGGAGCCCAGAGAAACGCGCTGAGTGGAGGCTGCACAGGACCCACGGAGGCGGAGTGGACCCCAGAGCAGACTGCCACTCATGGACACCCAAGTGGCAGTGTTGGCACAGGAAGGATGGGCACCACAGGGGGAGGGCTGTAGAGCTGTGGGCCCGTGAGGGACAAACAGTGAGAACAGAGCCCAGAAGGACCGGCCGGCGTGGCTCAGGGGTTGAGCATCGACTCAGGAACCAAGAGGTGGCCAGATGGATTCCCGGGCGGGGCGGGGCGCGTGCCTGGGCTGTGGGCTCGACCGCAGTCGGGGGCCTGCAGGAGGCAGCCGATCAATGACTCTCATCATTGACACTTCCACCTCTGTCTCCCTCTCCCTTCCTCTCTCTAAAATCAATAAAAACGTATTTATAAAAACACGTGAGGGGGAGAGGGTCAGACACGTGCATGGGACGGAGGCCTGGCCGGGAGCGGTCACTTTAACCCTCACCAGTGTCCTGGCGTCCCATCTGCTGGACAGAAGTGACCAGTGGCCCTTCCCTGTCCCCAGCAGGCAGCTGTGCGCGGCGAGGATGAGGCCACCCCGAGCCCCGCACACAGCAGGTCCCGCCTCAGGCAGGGGCTGTGGCCCTGGGCCCTGGGACACGCCGCCCGAAAGGGTGGGTGCCGTGAAGACAGGAGCCCACGGGAGTCAGAGGCCCGCCCACCTCGGCGCAGCCGGGAGACGGGACCGGGGGCCAGGGCACCTACGTCCAGCTTCATCAGGGTCAGCAGGTCCTTCTTGGCAGCTCTGAAGATGGCGTCTGTCTTCGTGCTGGTGACGGTCTCCTCTGACTTGCAGTCGGCGTAGTGGAAGACAGCGGAGGGGGTCTCGGCGACAATCACGCTCTTCTTGGACTTGAGACGAGAAGGGACAGGCGGTCAGAGGGACGGGCAAGGAAGGGATGTGGGGCCACCAGTGCAGGGCAGGGAGAGCCGAAGGGGGTGCGAGGAGGGCACCACCCACCTTGCTGGCCCCGGTGCCCTTGGGGCACTCCTCTGCATGCAGGGGGACCCTGGCACGGTCACAGGCCATCCGCAGATCAGAGGTGGCACCTGCAGACAGAAGGGAGACTCAGGACCATGCCGGTGGCGAGGGCCCGCTGGGCACCCCCGATACCCATGGACCATGGATGAGACTCAATTCCTAGAGCGACACTGCCAAGCAGTTGTGCCTTCCAAATGGGCAAAGTTCCAGTGTCAGCCAATCTAGCCCCAGATACTACAAATTCGGCCACTAGGTCTGCCTCCCAGGCTACCAGGCACAAGCTGGGCACTCTCCCCACAGACGCAGGGCCCTCCACCCACATGTCAGGCGTGTCCTGACCTTTCAGCAGCTGGAGGGGAGGGAACTCTGCTCCCGTGTCACCTGCTCCTTACCTGGTGGAGCCGGAGCACCCTGGTCGCCAGCCTGGGCCTGGCTGAGCTCATCCGAGATCTCCTCGTGGACAGAAGGCAGTGGGACAGAGTGACTCCTCTTCAGTAGAGGCCCAGAGGGGGCTACCCGGCTGCCCCCATGGTCTGCGGGGAGGACATGGGCATGAGGCGGGGTCTCTGGCCCCACAGCAGCACAAACCACCTGTCTCAGGCCCCGGGACAGCCTAAGCACACCTGCCCCCCAGGCCACAATCTCATCACCTGCACCTGCCTGCCCATCACCTGTGTCCACCTGCCCAGGCGACTGATGAACAAGGGAAAGCCCCAGACCTAGGCCCTGCTCTGCCCCGTCGCCAGGGTCTCCCTTAACTGGCCAGTTCCTTGCTGCCGGTCGAGCACCTTGAAGGTTGGCTCCTGCCCCAGGTGGAAGCCATGGTGCCCTTCTCAGTGCGACTCCCATTCGAGGGAGCCCCCTGGGCACACCTGGATGAGCCTGGCCAGCCTCAGCAGCCACTGGCCCCTCAGGTGAGTGAACCCACACAACTTTCCAGGAAGGACCCTGAGCAACACGGCTTCACTGAATTTCCATATCATCAGCCACTTGTATTAAACATGTTAGTGTGGCCCGGCCGGCATGGCTCAGTGGTTGAGCATCGACCTAGGATCCAGGAGATCACGGTTAGATTCCTGGTCAGGGCACATGCCCAGGTCGTGGGCTCGATCACCAGTTAGGGGTGTGCCAGAGGCAGCTAATCAATGACTCCCATCATTGATGTTTCTCTCTCCCTTCCTCTCTCTGAAATCAACAAATATATATTAAAAAATAACAAAACAAAAAGAGTTAGTGTGACTGCATGTTCCACATCACCTGGAGGGGGCTCCTGGCCAAGGAACCTTAGTGGTCAGTTTCTTTCCCCAAATCAAGGCCCCTCTTTAGATCTCAGAGCAGCATGGTCAGAGCACAAAACTCAGAACCTACTCCCCAAACACCTTCTCCCTGGGGACAAGTCCCTCAGCAGAGACAGGGTGCGACCAGAGGCCAGCGTGGGGAAAGGAGGCCTGGACTCGGGAGGGAGGTAAGTACCTGGGTCGCAGGACTCCTGGGGCCGCAGGGACCGCTCCAGCCGCTCCTCGGGGCCACTGGACATCTGCCTCTTAACCTTTGCAGCGGCCACGCTGGCTACAGACACAAGGGGGATGGCCTGGCTCTCCTGGGGCGTGAGAAAGGTGCTGCCCTCAGCATCCGAGGCTCCCGGACGAACACGTACCCGTGAGGAACAGACACATCGCAGGGGGAGGGGGGGGCCAGGGTCGGCGTTTTACCAGTTCGGTAAAAGGAGAACTGGTTTGTTCAAGGTGATGAGACCCGGAAAATTTAAATTACAGTCAAAACTGTGAGAAACCATAATACTCCTCATTAAAATGGGAAATATTGTAGAGAGGAAAGGACTTGCCCTAAGATACCCACAAGGATGGTGAGGAGGCCAGGATGGCACCAAGTCTGGGGAAGGTACTAGGAGAGACAGCACTCGGGGGCTGAGGGACCCAGGGGGGCTCCAACTGGCGCCTCCGACCAGCACCTGGCTTGCAGGACACAGCAGGTCACAACTGTCCCACCTCCTTCTCCCAAGGGCTCTGGGGGGTGGGAGGGAGCTTATCCCACCTCACAGCCACCTCCTCGACCCCACCCAGCCCTGACAGGAAGGAGGGTCAAGGGACCCCAGGGAAAAGAGGTGACCAAAGGAGCTGAGTTCAGACCACACTCGAGACTCTGCTGCAAGGGAACCACAGGGCAGGACAGCCACTGGCAGATGGGCAGCAAGCGTCCAGGAAAGAAGAACTCTGGCATCGAGCAGGAGCCCACCTCCCAACCTGCTGACCACGGCCCATCCGTCGCCACCCCCAGCAGCACTTACGGGATTGAAGAGCTCGGTGGTCAGGCCCAGGTAGTTGTGCAGAGCCAGGAAGGTGACCCTCTGCAGCCGCACCATGATGATCTGGGGCAACAGGAGCCGCCAGGCCGTGAGCCACGTGGGCCTCGTGGGCCTGAAACCCCCCAGGTTTGACAATCACCACGATCACTTAAGATGCCAGCTCGGCGCGTTATTTCTGTAAGTTTCCTGTAAATCTAAAATTACTTCAAACAAGAAGTTTAAGACTAAAACAGCTTTTGGGGGTAGTGGCAGACCTGAAGAACTCTCTGAGGTTATGAACATTAATCTTTATTACAGAATATAAACGACAAGGTTTCTAAAACGTCCCTTAGTCTTTCCTGCACCCGCCTGGAGCCTGCATGGCCAGTGGTCCAAGCTGCCCATGTGGTCGGGTGCCCACAGGGATGCCACAACAGGGAAGGCGGCCAGGGAAGCACCCACCTGCACCACCCTGACTAGGGTCTCGGGATACTTCTCAAACACTCCTTGGAAGGCCACAGCTGGAAGCCTGAGGACGGTGGACGGGGAGGCGGCACGGGCAGACACGGTCTTGTAGGGTGCGGTGTGGCCCTGCAATGACAAGCGCTTCATGGGCCCTCAGCTGCCTGAGAGCTCGGAGCCGGCTCTCCAGTCCCCACCCTGCAACACGGTGAATGACACCCCAGCCCGAGCGGGCCTCCCTCGAGGCCACCTGGAGCCAGGTGACCCCCAGGTGGAGCCCCACCCAGTGAGCACCGAGGGAGAGGCTCAGCTCAGGGAGGCTGCCTGCCCCAAGGCCAGGTGTGGTCCCCATGCAGGGACCTCTGCCCTCCCTGGTGCACAGCTGGGTCCTGTCACCACCCTCTCCTCCCACCACTGGTTCCCAGCAACAACCCAGCTCTCTCCTGTCCGGATGGTTTTGCCTCTGTCAAAATGTCACACAGACGGAATCACACAGGGCCTGGCTCCTGTCACTGTGACGACACACCTGAGACACGTCACGCACTCAGGATTCAGCCCAGAGAGCGGCTGATGCAGGCACAGCGGTGTCCTTGTCCACAGGGTGAAGGACACGCACTCCCAGTGTGGGGAATTATGCATAAAGTTGCTGCAGACACCCCCACACAGGGCGTGTGAGCCCGTGTTGCTCTTGCTGGGCACCTACCAGCCGTCTCCACAGGGGCTGTGCCCCTTGGCATCCCGCCAGTGAGAGGCTCAGGGACCCAAATGCACAACCCACTTGCACAGTTGGGGCGAGTGCGGGAGACAACCAACTGATGTTTCCCCCTCTCCCTCCCTCTCTTCCACTCTCTCTAAAAATCAACACCAAAAAATATCTCCTGGTGAGGTTTAACCAAAAGTAAAAAGGTGCAACTTCCAAGGATAAGCTTAAATCAAATGCACCCGCTCAGTCGCACGGGCCTGTGTGCTGATGGAACCTGGCTGGCGTGCACGCAAATCTGGTTTATGGTTGTGGGTTTTACTCGGAAGAAAACCCTCGTGGGGGGTGGGG